TGTCTGCCCGCGCCAGCCAGCAAAGCCATCCCAACGGTACGCCCCGCATGCCACAAGGAACTCCGAGTATGCAGGCAACGCCGGTGCCGCGACCTGCCGTTGCTGCCACGCCTCGCATGGGACAAGCCAGTCCTCCTCCGAACATGATGCAATCAAACTCTCAAATGGGCCAGCCTATGATGAACGTCGGCACACCTGGATCCATGTCGAACCAAATGCATAATCCCAATCTGATCGCAGCTCAAGTAGCCCAACAGCAACGTGCTATTCAGCAACAACAATTGCAAGCAGCTATGCAGAGTGGCATGGGTAACATGATGAATGGCATGAACCCGCAACAGATGACGCCCCAGCAGCAGCAATTTATGCAGCAGCAGATGCACCAGCGCATGCTTTTGCAGCAGCAACAGCAACAGCAGCAACAGCAGCAACAACAACACCAGCAGCAGCAACATCAACAACGCGGTAACATGGGTAATATGATGACGCAACAGCTGGCGGCCCAGTATGCTCAACAACTTAACCGCATGGGAGGCAACCACATGGGCGGCGGTCAGATGACGCCACAAATGCAGGCACAGCTCCAGGCTCAGCTCCAGGCGCAGATGGGCAATCCCATGCAGCGGCAGATGGGTGGCCAGGGTATGATGAATGTGAATGGGCAGAATATCAGCATGCAGCAAGCACAAGCGATGATGCAGTTGCAGCAGCAGCAGCAAGCGATGGGCGGGAATAGCGCTCTCACGAACCAAGTGAAGATGCAGGGAATGGCGATCTACAACAAGCAAATCGCTAACCTTGCTGCCAAGTATGGCGGGAGCGTGGAAAACATCCCACCTGCCGAGATGGAGAACTTTAAGCGGCAATGCATGTTGGAGGCCAAGAACCAGATAAGTAACGTTCTTGCACAGCGTAGGGCGCAGCAGGTGATGATGCAGCAACAGCAGCAGCAACACCAGCAACAGCAACAGCACCAGCAAATGCAGCAGATGCAGGGGATGGGCGGGATGATGGGACCTCACGGAATGTAGATTCTGTGATGACAGCCATGAGGCAAGTGTCCTGACGATTCAGAGTCAATGGCGGAGTGAGAGAACAGCGGATATGCCATGTTAAGAGCGTCTTTTTATTTCGGCGTCTAAGGGACTAGGGGAGGGTTTGGCTGGTTTCGATCTTGCATGATCTTATATACCCCTACGAAGGCGCATCTACCTTATCCTTCAAGGTGCGGTCAGGGACGGACGTCTATTGAATTGGGGGGCTGACGCAAACAAACGGCATATGCATACGCCAGAGCGATTCGGGACTCTGAGAGCGAGTTAATATGTTACTGTGTATATCAGTTCAGTCATCAGTGAATTGGAATCCAGTTCAGAAAAGAAAAGTTCAGGTAACGACTTAAGATGAGCTTGGTGTGTGGAGACCATTCAATCCAACATTGCGTTCCATGTATGTGGTTGTGTCTTATGTTGGTGGGATTCTGGATCCAGCTTCCGGCCAGGACTCTTCCACACATTGAAGGTGAGGCCGCCCAGGATGAGAGGGTCCGTGCATGGACTCCATCAGCAGCATCACGTGCATTGCATCGCTTAATCTTCGGCATGACGCGGGAGAGACCCGATGATGCAACCCGCTAATGCCGCTAAGGCGCAGGAAACGGTCAGGTTCCACGGTCCACGGCCCAGGTCCAGCAGCAGCATCCAAAGTGGAAGGTGCCGCGCTGGGTCATTCATCCACGGTTACTGACTGACTGCTCTGGCCTTTAAGCCACATGAACCATTTCGTGACCTCGAGCTTCCACCATCACTGCGCTGCCTGTTAAGCTCAACACCACATTCATTAGCAGCAGTAACATCTTCTTGTTCTCTTTTTTGGGTCTGTCCGGTACCTTCTGCAACCTTGTCGAGCTCCAACGTTGCCTGCGCCCTTCCCTCTTCCATCCGCTGCCGTCCCGATCCACCCGCACGCAACCCCCAGACCATTCCGCCGAACTTCATCGAAGCTCAGACATCGACAACAGCGACCCTTCGGTCGGCCCTCCCGTTATGCATTTCCCTCGACCGCAAGCAGCTCTTCTGCTAGCCTTCCTCTTCTCCTCGCCGGCATTGGCGGCCACCATCGACTGCGAACACATCCGCGTAGACGATGTCTCCTTCAACCTCAAGGCCCTGGGAGGCCCGCACAGCGTCGTGACTAGCCGCTGGCACCCCCCAACCTTCACCAACACGTCCTACACCGTCGACATCTGCAAGCCTCTGAAGCGGAAAGGAGACGTCAAGAAGGAGGAGCAATGCCCCAACGGCACGCGAGGTACGCTGCCTGCCTGCTTCTGTACAAAGCCAGGACATTTGATGGATTACTAACACCGCGGAAAAACAGTCTGTGCCATTGAGCGCACCGTCCACCCGGGCAACGACAAGGACAAAGACGAGGTCGAGAAGGTGATTCCGATCGCCGGCGAGCTGCAAGACGTGGGCGGCAAGCCCCTCGATGCCAAGGTCGAGCGTCTCAAGTCCAGCGACTCCAACTCGGACGCGAAGAAGGAAGGCCTCCGGCTCATCCTGAACGGCGGCTCCTACCCCTTGACTAGAAGCGGCAGGAAACAGAAGGCTATCATCGAGTTCATCTGCGACCGCGAGAAGACGGGTCTCGAGGGAGAAGTCACCTCTGAAGATCAATACGATACTGCCACGAAACTGCGCGCACGTGACGACAATGACGACAAGGACAAGGATAAGGACGGGGATGGGCCATCGCCCGACGAGAAGCAGATTATGGGAAACGGCACTGCCTTGATCTGGAATAGCTACGGTCCTGCCGAGGGAGATTTTGATGTCTTGAGAATGACTTGGCATACAAAGTACGCCTGTGAAGACGCGCGCGACAAGCCGGATGAGAACGGTGACGCGAGCAGCCACTGGGGCTTCTTTACTTGGTTTGTCGTCTTGTAAGTCCACCCGGTTTCCCCCAAGGTTTACCTTCGCCAGCTAACAGTCTCCGTGTAGGGCTTTCCTCGGTACCGCCGCATACCTCATCTTCGGCTCCTGGCTGAACTACAACCGATACGGTGCTAGAGGCTGGGATCTTCTGCCTCACGGAGACACGATCAGGGACATCCCGTACTTGGTGAAGGACTGGACGCGCAGTGTCCTCAACACGGTGAACGGCAGCGGCAGCCGAGGCGGCTACAGTGCCGTCTAAATGCGCTCTTTTCACGGGGAGTTGGCATAAGCATGGGGTGTACATTTACAGTGTAAACGGGGTTAGTGACTGAGGTTTCCTAGGTGCATGGTTTCGCGGGTCTGGTTGCGACTTGGAGTTGGGCTGGTTTGGTCCCTGGGGCTCGTCGCATTAGCTGGTTCGTCCAAGAAAGTACTCTTTGATCCAATCCGTCTTGTCCCAGTCTGTGGTGCTTTTTGTGCCTACGGGCATTGCCATATGCTCGCACATCGGCTGGCTACGCGAAAGCATGATCAGTGGTAGATCGACGCACCAAGTACTGTGGGGCGTGTCTTTTGAATTTCTCCAGAAATCCCCCGCGCTTCGCCACAATCTACCGTCCAAGCAACAGGTAAGCAGTTAAAAGCCCCCCAGATACCCATCGCGAACTGACAACCGCCCAGAATGAATTCCTCGCGCAGATTTGACGATGTACCGCTTCCGAGCGATGAGGACTTGACCTCGTCGCCACCACCATTTACTCCACCTCCCCTCCCTCAACTCACAAACTCCCCACAAACAATCCCAGACTCCTGCCTCTCGCTCTCCATCCCTCTCCTCCGCGCCCTACACGCGCTCCTGCCCCCAGCACCGTCCCTCACTCTCTCCATAGGCAGCGGCACCGGCCTCGTCGAGGCTCTTCTCCAGTCCCTCCCGGACGCCCCGCCTCTCAACCTCGTGAGCGTCGAAGTCGCACCCAGCCCAAACAAGTATCACCATCCGCACCGCACCGTGCCCGGGACGTGGGCCGTCGAGGGCCTGGCGCGGGACGCGGCGGCGTGGGTGTTTGTGTACCCGAAGCAAGTGGCGCTGGTGAGGGAGTATATGCGGCTGTTTGTCGAAGGGCCTGGGCCGGAGGTTGTGGTTTATGTCGGGCCGCGGATGGACTGGGGAGATTTTGGGGGCGCGCTGGAGGGTGGTGGGAGGGAGGTTGAGGTTTGGGGGGAGGAGAGGATGGAGGAGGTTGGGGGGCGCGGGTGGGAGGTTGTTGCGGTTGTGAGGAGGACGGGGAGGTGAGGTAGGACTTCTCGGATCTGTCAACTTTGGCCCTGAGGTTGACTGAGGCCCCGGAGATGCTTGCGAAGAGCTCGCGTATCGGGCATAAGTCGGGAGGTTCGCAAGTCATGGCAAGTCTTGCCGGCCTCTTTCGGGCCTGATGCAACACTTGGCGAGAACGCCTCAGACGATGAGTACGCCAGACTGTGCATGTCTCACGGCAGGAAGTGGGTATTGCCAGGCGTCATCGTATTCGGATTCTTCAATTACTGATCATCTCAATAGGGTCATCACCGCGAATGCCACGGGCGCGATGCACGACATGCCAGATGCCTTCCGTATTGTGGATCGTTTCGAATCCGAACACCAAGGAAATCAGCAATGATCCGATACGTCTGGTGGGAGCATCACGATCTTTCGCAATTCCGCTCCATAATGATATCATGTGGTCTAGATTTTATATACTAGTATGGCTACGCAAATGCTAAGCTATGCCAATGTGTTAGAAACGCAGCCACTCCACTCAGCACCCTGCCTCCCGTCTCATCAATCACCATCACCCTCACCTTCACCAACCAATCCAAGCCTCTCCTTCCTTCACCATGGCGAATCCTCGCCCATCGAACGAACGAGTGACTTTTGCTGGATTCACCATCTCCATTACGAACACACTACTATGCAACCTCGGCACATATGCACAAAAGTCACGGCAGGTATTTATATATACATGGTCGAAACAGAAACGCAAGCCTCCGAGGTCAACTCTGAGAAGGCTCGTGGCCAGCTTACGCGCCGGCGGCCGGGGCGGCCATCATGGAGGCGGCGAACGTCGCGGCCTCGTCGGCGTCGTTGCCGTAGGTGAGATGGGCGCGGCGGATCTGGTTGCCGCCCTCGCAGATGTTGTCGCCGTTGTGGCAGATGACCTTGGTCCTGGAGGCGTCGACGCCCTGTACGGCCTGGCCGTTAACTATTTCACTCGTCAGCATTGCATTTTTCAATTCTCTCTCCATTCCAATATGTGACTTACGTGGGTCGCCAAAGATGACCACACCAGCAACCTTGGCCGTCATCTCCGCCGGCATCATCGCCGCGCCGTTGTGCACGAGCTGGCCGCCCTGCGAGTATCCAGACATGATGACGGCCGAGTTGGGGCAGTTGGTAATGGCCTGCTGCGTCAGGGTAGCCATCTCCTGGGAGCCATTGGCATCGCCGCCGGCGAGGAAGCCGGGCACGTCGGCCGGGTACTCGATGCCCTGGACCTCGAGGTTGCCGCCGACCTGGGCAGAGAGCGCCTGGAAGAAGGGCGGGCCAGCGATGGTGCCGACGTTGCCGCGCTCCGTGGTGCCGCGGGCGAAGACGACGATCATGTTGGCGCACGCGCCGCCCTGCAGGCCGTTTTGCGTGTTGCCTGAGAAGTCGGCCTGGCGCTTGGTGATGGGGGTGGAGGTCGCCGTGCCCAGCAAGGCGAGGAGGGCTGCTGATGTCGTGAGATGCATCGTGAAATGAGTGTGTTATTGGCGGTGGTGAAGGATTGTCGATGGTTGCAGAGATTAAATTACTAGGCGATGGAAGGAGAGGCTTAACTTTGAGATATCACTGGTCAAGCACAGGAAGATGAGATGGGCGGCGGCGTTGGATTCTTATACCGGAGATGCGGAAGACAAGCTTGGCCTTGGCATTTTCACTTTCAACGTTTGCACGCAAGCCGCACCGATATGGACCAACCTCCGGATGGACAGGCCGCCGTGACGGGCGGCGAGGGCAGAGAAGAATAAGCTTCTTTCGTTCGCTTATTGCGGTGTGTGTGATGTCGTCTGCTCCAGGGCAGCTTCAGGTACCGCAACCTCATCCCAATAGGGAAAGGAGGGCGGATCAGAGGCAGGGACCTCACGTGGGATCAGCCTGATGGCGACACTAGACGGGAACAGGGGAACAGGGTTGCCTCATGTTCAAGACGAAAGGACTCGGGGAGCGTTCTCAGTCGTGAGCCTTCTGTTTGGCTGGAAGAAAGATAGGGCCGCGACATGTGGACCCCTGGAAGCTTGATCTGCCCTGCTGGGCGGGCTCGAGGCTGATCGGTGAAGAGAAAAGAGAGTGAGGATGAGCTGCATCGGGGCCGGAAGAACAGACGGGGATGGATGCGATTGGGCGTGGCCGTTTCATGGGTGTGGTCGGCCTGGTGTGTGTGTAGCCATGGGGTTTGAGCAACTCGAAACATCGGGCGGGCTGTGCGTCGAAGGCCACCGGGAGTGCTTCCAAGCTTTTCAAGAGTGTACCAGCCTAGTTTTGGTGGGCTGAAGAGTTGGGAAGGTCTTGCTGCCCACAACATGGGACGGCGTGCAGATTTCGCGCTGGTGAACCAATGTGGAAGTCCTCCGCCGCAGCGGATTGGCAGGTTGCTATTCCTCTGACAGCGCTTTGTTCTCTCGTCGGTCTGATGTTTTCCATAACACTGGCACGATGTCGGCATGTCGTCTCGAGTCCGACCCAAGGTTGGTGTTGATTGCGCTTACTTCGCAACGTTCGGAATTCCCGACGGTGCGAAGGTTGACGTGCATCATGCCTCTTGGCTCTCGGCAGCTGGGCGCGGGAGGCCATGTACGTATGGCGTGCGCCGTCGGATTTTTGGAGGCCCGCTGAGTGTGCTTAACATCATCTCGAGTTTTCTTCGGGCGGTGTGACGAATGTTGTAGGGATGGACTTGTCCGGAGTCTGGTGAGGGGAAGATGCGTGCGGCGATGACTAAAGGGGTAGATTGAAATCTCACGTCGGTACCGAGACGCTGGCTCGGCATGTTGTCAGGGAGGAAGTGCGATTAGGTTGGAGGCGATTGGGAAGGGAGTTGACTCGCGGTGACAGCCAGATGACACCGGGGAGTCGCCGAGGGAGTTTGAGTTGGGAGAGTCATTGCCTTGCTTTCTGTGCGAGCTAGTCGAGACACAACGTTGAGGTTATCCCCAAGAGAGACGTTGCCGTTCTTTTTGGCAACTTGTCAACAAAGAAACCGTTGCACGACGATCCTGAGGTGCAGCCATTGTGGAATGTGTCGTCACCCCAATGACGGCTGCAAACGGGATTGCGTTGAAAGAAGCTTGCGGGATTCGCGCTGCCAAGGGAAACATCCGGAAGATCGGCCCCCGCATCGACGCCACGGGGCACGGGAGCTTAAGTTTGGCCCACCTTTCGGTTGATATCACGTTAACTTTTCTGCCCATGTTTCCAACGGTCCTTTTGTGCCTGGATCCTCTTGACGTGCGTTTTAGCCTGGAGCGTTGGACACCTGTTTTTCTAAGCCGAACGACGCGGCTGACCGAAGATTATCAAGACACAATTCTGATATGAGAGATATCGCGGGCCTCGAAGTGGCCCAAGCTAGATCACGAGCTCGGGAAAAGGAGATTTTCTGGTTATTGCTGCCGTGAATGTGAATAATGAAATCTTCTATCGTGCCTGAAGCCATTGTTTGGCCTCGGCTGGTAACACATCCGCCGAGTGTCAAACATTTAAAAATTGATGAATAGACAATGACAACCGAGAAGGCATCCTTGGCTAGCTCTCAACACCAGATCCTCAAACGAAACCTTCGAAATAATGATGCCAAACACTCTCGCCACGTACTTGACCGTCCGGGTTCTTGACGGCTTTCCACTGCCCTCGCCTTGAAGCCCTCAGACAACCGTACTGGTACCGCGTACAATACCAACCGGTTCCCAACCCTCCGGGCCAACTCTGTCATTCACATCTTTCAGTTCGGCTCTGTTGATTAGATTCCGAGAGATGTCCAAAATCACAACTATCTTGCGAATGTGTCCATCGGTCCACTCATGATCATCGTCTGTAATATCCACATTGCAGAACACGCGGCCCCGGTCGTATGTGATGTTTGTGTATCGAGTTTTTTGTTTGAAGTTGTGGAAGAAGCCGATGATCTCCACGGGGGTGCGGAATCTTCCACGGGTGCCATCCAAATTGACAATCATCCGCATGTCGTCAGAGCAGAAGAACATAAAGTCGGCAATGCTGCGGTTTTGGATGACGCCAATGAGAAATATCTTGGCAAGGTGGGCAAAAAGCTCGTCGGTGCGGTTTCCAACGTAGCTTCCGACATGAAGGGCTTCATGCCGTTCGTCGAACAATCCATAATCCACCTGTGCTCGCATCGGAGGGGAATCTGATCTTTCGGAAATGGGCAGGGATTGACGCATCGGTTCTGTCCTAGCAACAGCATCATGACCTGCTGGCCCTGGCGCTGTCGAAGCAACAAAAAACCCATCACGTATTTCGAAGTCCACCCGCTCAGCGGTGAGTATACGGTGGGCTGGCGAGGACATTGTGCGATTGTTGGTCTCTGAGTAGGCTTGCGGTACTGATCTATCATTTGAGCAAATGTTGCAACCGAAATCGGAACTTCGTGATGGAAAGCTGGATGCTATAAAGTATCGGGATACGCAGTTGACGTTGTGGTATGCTGTTCGAAATTGGAGGACATTGGAAAATTAGCTGCCGACAGCATGCTTTATTTCAAGTAGCAAATGATTGCGACAACGTCAAATGCCGCTATCGAGCTGGCGGTGACAAGGTTCTGTTCTTTGATCAAAAGCCTGTCGATGAAATTTCTCCTTGCAGCTTGAATGAACAGCATCCTATGTAAGATTACAACTCCACCGAATAACGGATTCGGCTTGTGATCAACCAAGTGTAACATGAAGACGCCCGCCCTCTACCATCTAGCGCATAATACACCCCTTCATGGGATTTTTCATCTGCTTCCGGCGATTATGCTTTGTGAAAAATTTCTTTGCTGCAATAAATGCGCTGCAAGGCCAGGGTCCCGGTCTAAGAATGTTTCCCGATTTGTAGCCGCCTATTGCGCCGCCAAGAGATGTTTTTTGATTCTCTGTGACCTTGAGAGATGAGGCCAAATGCAGGCAGCATATCTGTTGATGCCTTGAAGCTTATTATTAAAAAAAAAAAAAAAAAAAAAAAAAAAATTCTCTTTCTAGAACACTAGTAAACTGGGTAACAAAACCAAAAAAAAAGAAATGTTTTTTGATGTCCGACAATCCATGGCCGCGTAGTATTAGCGTTGAATCGGTATCGGGCCTAATGAAGATATATCCCATCAACTTTCTAGCGGTATCGAAACTGTGTGGTGAAGACCTGCGTTTTGCAGGCCAAAAATAGGACCCTTGCGCTTGATTGAGGTGCATTTCCTATCCTCGGTAAGAATGTGACCACAACAGCACATTCTGCACCAACGTGCATGCACATCCGGGTTCCGCGGCTACACTGTGGAGATGAGAACTGTGTGCGTGCGAATAGAAGTGACAGCAGGGGGCTGTTGGGACGCCCGCATGTTCATCACAGCCTGAATTGTCCGCGATGGATACCGGCCAAGACGAGGGGGCCGGACGATGCAACCGGCTCCGACATGCAAGTGACAATCACAAATACCCCTCAAGTTTCTTTCTTTGTCCTTCGACTTTTCTTTTGTTTTTCTTTTTGTTGTCGGGTTTCTTCTAGTCCAAGTAACGCATTCGCATTGAAGGGCTAATCACCATGTCTCAATCTCAAGACAACCACGAAGTTGAGCTCGCTGCTGATGACGGGGTAAGCTTGAAACCTGGAACTTTGTCTTTTAACGTCTAACAATTGCAGGATGATCCCCGCTCAGAAATCGGAAGTGTAAGCTTTGTCCCGAGGGCCAAGCGCAACTACTGACGTGTTGCTAACTATCAACCACCCAGAGTATTGCCTCCTCGAGAACCAGTCTTCGTGACTCCATAATCGATTATCGCATTGAGAACGGCCGATCCTACCATCGTTACAAAGAAGGCAGTAAGTGGCTCCTCGTGCATGAACAATCAGCGTGGTTTCTGACGAGATCCTCCAGAATACAATCTCCCAAACGACGACCAGGAAAACGACAGACTTGGTGAGCTTAAACACCATAACTCACGATGTGGACCTAATTTGATGCTAACTCAAAATTCCAACCAGATTCAAACCATCAGCTGTGGCTGATCACTCTTGACGACAAACTCGGCGTCGCCCCGCCCTGCGAAAAGAATGCGACTGTTGGTCGAGTACTTGATGTCGGCACTGGCACAGGTATCTGGGCTATTGACTTTGGAGACGAACATCCGGAAGCCGACGTCAGTACCTATTCAACGGCGCATCTTAATGATCCTTGAAGACTCATGGATACAGGACTAACTTTGCATCGCAGGTTTATGGGAACGACCTATCCGCCGTACAGCCAACCCTGTGAGGAAACATTCATAGTTAAGATTGAGAGAGTGCTGACCATTCTTCACAGAGTACCACCCAACGTCAAGTTTGAAGTTGATGACATTGAAGACGAGTGGACATACTCTCGTCCATTTGAGTATATCCACAGCCGGCTCATGACTTCCAGTCTCAGCGACTGGCCCGTGTTCTTGAGACGTTGTTTCGAGTAAGTCATTCTACGTTCACCTTCATCAATATCGATATCATATTTTCCCGATTTGATCATGTAAAGGAGCTAACGAAGGTGGCTATGAAGTAATCTGGAGCCTGGGGGTTACCTCGAATTGAAAGAAACCGACATCATTCCTCGTTCCGACGACGACACCCTCAATCCCGCGCATGCCCTTATGAAATGGGCTAACCTCCTTCTGGAGGCGTCAATCAAGCTTGGACGGCCCTACATGGAGATCCCAAGTTTGAAGCAGCTCATGATTGAAGCAGGATTTGAGGATGTCACAATGCACGTCTATAAGTGGCCAACTAATGGGTGGCCTAAGGACCCGAGATACAGGGAGATTGGCCTGTGGAACTACGAAAACACAATGATGGGCCTGGAAGGCTACACGATGGCCCCCTTGACGCGCGCTCTGGATTGGATGCCAGCAGAGGTCGACGTCTTCCTCATTGATGTGCGTAAGGACCTCAAGGATCGAAGCATTCATGCATACTGGCCTCAGTGAGTCTCACTCCCACATGACACCTGGAAGACTTGTGTTTTGAACATTTGACTAGATACGCTATCGTCGGCCGCAAGCCACAAAAGGAGGAGACGCCAGCGGCTGCTTGAGATTCATCATGATCACTTGTCTGTACCCAGCTGCATTTGTACCAAGCCCGATAAAAGTCCATATCTCAAATGACTTGGCAGAAGAATTGTGCCACTGGCAAACTCGGAGTAATTGTTGCATAAGTACCTTCCGCGGATTAAACCGCGGGAACGAGTCGGGATCATGACCCCTGCGCTCGCTTGTGAAGCATTTACCCTTCTCGGTGATCATGTCATAATTGACAAACATATCTTGACAGGCAGTGGTTATGATAAACATGCACCGTCGCACCTGCCCCAATTTTCTGTTTTCTCATTCGTGCGTAGTTCTTCATGTCCACAAAACTCGCCGCGTAACATGGATGTTTATGCACGTTGGTGCAGAGAAAAGGTCGGCCAAGAAGAGGGGGCCCGAGTCGTACAAAAACCGCATTATTTGCCCCGCGTCTGCCGTTCCGTTTTCTTGTGCTGTTTCCTCTCTTTTCTACCAGAGCCAGTCCTTGTGCGCGGTTCCATTGAAACATCAATAATCATGGCCAGCCCTCCGAACGACTTTGAAATCCAGGTTGCTGCTGATGAGCAGGTAATAGGCGATCTTCTTGCAGTTGCAATCCCTTATTGTTCTTTTTCGGTTTAACGAAATATTGCAGCAGGATGATAGCCATTCTGATATTGAAAGCGTAAGCTCCATATGTGGCACTGAAAAGTGACTCTCCAGCTTAATGTGACCACCAGGTCACCGCCTCATCAACGACTAGTCTTCGAGAATCCGTCGTAGACTACCTTGTGGAGAATGGACGCACATATCATCGATATAAGGAAGGCAGTATGTGTTGACAAGCCTGCGCGAAAGTCTTTTCTAATTCCTCAGAATACCACTTGCCCAATGACGAGAGGGAAAATGACAGAGAAGGTAGAAATCTCCCCTATCTGCTCAGTTCATCTGACTGACCCAGTTTCCAGACATGGTTCATGCCTTGTGGCTTCTGACGTTGGACGATAAGCTTGGTCTCGCCCCTCCATGTGATAAGGATGCCAAGGTCGGCCGAGTCCTGGACATAGGCACAGGCACTGGAATATGGGCTATCAACTTCGCGGACGAGCACCCAGAATCTGAGGTATCTTCCATCACTCTCACATGCGGTCTCTCACAGACAATCCATTCCGCGAGATCTAACAATAAGCAGGTTCTTGGGAACGATCTTTCACCTATTCAGCCCAGCGAGTGAGTGGTCTCGATCGGGGCATCGAAAACCCTATTTTGACACATTGCTAACCTCTCTTATGTAGCGTCCCGCCCAACGTGAGGTTTGAGGTGGATGATATCGAGGATGAGTGGACATATTCGCGACCATTTGACTACATCCACAGCCGAGTGATGACATCAAGTGTTGCGGACTGGCCTCAATACCTGAAGAAGTGCTACGAGTAAGAGGATCACTCAAATTGTTCGAATGCGGCGTTTATGGAAATAACTGACTTGTGATCGGGCAGCAATCTTCAACCCGGCGGCTATCTCGAGCTTCAGGAGCTCGATCTCTTCCCTTCATGTGACGATGGAACCCTTACAAAGGACAGTCCATTGATGAAGTGGGCGGACCTATTGTATGGCGCTTCGGTCAAATTTGGCCGCCCTTACTTAGAAATTTCCACCTTAAGGAAGGCTATGATTGAGGCTGGCTTTGAGGACGTTACTATGAGCACCTATAAATGGCCTTCGAACTCCTGGCCAAGAGACGTCCATTTCAAGGAGCTTGGGATGTGGCAGAGGGAAAACATGCTCAGTGGGCTGGACGGGTTCACTCTAGCCCCTCTGACGCGTGCCCATGACTGGTCACCTGCGGAAGTCAGCGTCTTCCTCATCGACGTTCGAAAGGTCATCAACGACAGAAACATTCACGCCTACTGGCCAATGTAAGTTTTGCTTGAGAATACATCCGAAATTTAGATCGTGCTAACAAATCTAGTTACTTCATCGTCGGCCGGAAGCCGCTGAAGGAGGAGAAGTAGAGGAGATTGTCGTCTCCTGTGGAAATTTCAGAAAGGCTTGATTGCCGTACATGTCGCCTCTTGAATAGTAGATCAGCACTAGACTTCTAGCTTTTGAGATAACTGCAGTATATGCCAGTAAGGCCCTCAGGGTTTCGATCGCCAACGGGAATGTTTAGAAGCCGTCGTTGGCTTTATTGTTTTTCTAGGAGTTCCTCCAATTCACTCGGTGAATATCGCGACTGGATAATTCGAAACAACACTACAGCAAGAGATTGTGAAGCGAAGATTGCGATTGTAACAATACGCGTTGCATCGGTGGCATTTACACGGGGGGTTTTGAGTGCATGTTCGCTTTCCATCCTGCTTGGCTAGATGCGGCGGTGCTATCGCTGAAACAGCATGACGAGGCTCTGTCAACTTTTCAGTGATCGTCTACCCCTTGGTTCCAAGTAGCTGAATCACTGCAAAGCTGTCCAGAAATCCATACACCATAGGGCCGGCTGACAAGCCATTGCTTGGTTCTCATGGGTGTTGAGGGGTGTGGACTGCATGGGCAAACAATCACTATCCGTAGACTCCCCACCGGGAGTTTGCTCCCCCATCCGTGCCGCTCGGCTTCTTGTCCCAACGCAGGGTAACATGTCGCCAACAGGCGAGCTAGTCCTAAATCTGCTGGTAACAAATCTGCAACATGCGAGACGATTGTCTGCTTGCGTTTTCTATTCGCAGAGAGCTCATCTCCTCCACAAAAAAACGGTCCTGCTGCTAGGATTCCATGCACGTTGGTGCAAGATGCAAAGCAAATGCACTCATCAGCCAAGACGAGGCAGGGGCACCGAACGAAAAAGGCGGTCATGTGCGACCCGTAGGATATTTCAATTGTCCCAGTCACACCAGGTCCCGGGTAACTGGAATTCTTTCCTGTCCCTCAGTATCTTCATCCAGCAGCCGACATCTTTTTCGAGATCCACAACCATCCGTCGCCATCATGTATCATTTTTCACAGAATTTTGAAGTCCAGGTATTTATCGACGATGATGTACGCGCGTCCCTACCCAGAAGCCCGGTGTTATTAAATCTGACATTGACCACAGCTTGAAGATGATACTCGGTCGGAATGTGAAGGCGTAAGCTTAAGAATATTACCGTTCATCTGTCGCTTCCTCGGCGGATTGCTACAGAATGGATGAGCCTTGTTGTTAATAGACCCAATCACAGAGCGTCGCATCTTCAACCATTAGCCTTCGGCCATCAATCCGATCGTATCATGAGGAGAACGGGCGGACATATCATCACTACAAGGAAGGCAGTATGTAATCTACACTGGTTTGAGATTATGATGCTCAGATATCTTACCAGAATACAATATTCCAAACGACGACAAAGAGCTGGATAGACAAGGTGAGTCGCTTTAACAGTTAGGGTTGAAAACTCACTTATCAGTGAGTGATGTAGATCTAGAACATCACTTATGGCTTCTTACCCTGGATGACAGGCTTGGTCTCGCGCCACCATGCCAGCCCAACGCCAACGTCGGTCGAGTCCTCGATGTCGGGACAGGTACGGGGATTTGGGCCATGAACTACGGTGAAGAACACCCGCAAGCCCGAGTAAAGTTCCTCGTTGTTCGGTCACCTTTCCTATGCAGAAGTCTGATAGTCGTCCCCAATTTAGGTATACGGAAACGATCTTTCTCCGGTTCAGCCAGATCAGTAAGAACTGCCGTAACTAGGTGCTTGGAGTGGCTGTACTGATATTGCAAGACTAACATGCGATTGCAGTACACCGCCAAATGTTAGATTTGAGGTTGACGACGTGGAAGACGAGTGGACGTTCTCCCGTCCATTCGACTACATCCATAGCAGGGTAATGACTTCCAGCATCTCCGACTGGAGTCTTTACTTACGTCGGTGCCTTGAGTAAGAATACTGCTATCTCCCGAGGCCGAAGTGCATTCATAACGCTGACTTTGCATGGCATAGCAACCTTGAGCCGGGGGGATATCTGGAACTTCAGGAGCTTGACTGCGTTCCGCGCTCCGATGACGGGACCCTCACTCCAGAAAGCCCGTTGATGAAATGGGCTGATCTTCTCGTTGAAGCATCAGAAAAGTGCGGGCGCCCTTATATCCGTATCCCTCCACTCAAGGACCTTATGGTTGAGATAGGGTTCGAGGACGTGTGCATTTATATGCATAAGTGGCCCACTAATAGCTGGCCAAAGGATCCAAAGTTCAAGGAGCTTGGGATGTGGCAAAATCAAAGCATGATGGAAGGACTCGATGGCTTCACTATGGCCCCTTTAACTCGGGCGCTGAAGTGGAAGAAGGACGAGGTGAACGTATTCCTAATCGATGTGCGGAAGGAGATCAACGATAGAGACGTCCACGCATACTGGCCCATGTAAGTATTGAGACACCATCATCCGAAGCCGAGGACTCATGCTCAATTTCCGCCGAAGTTATTTCATCATGGGTCGAAAGCCTCTCAAGACTGATGAAAACAAAAAGCCCGATTCAAGCAATTTCGCGTTCACGTTTTAGTGCAAGGGAGGGGTATAATACCACGCTTGTATAAATGATTTCATTGATATCGCATCAAATAACAGGCTCCCCAATCGTTTTACGAGAGAACCAATGACTTTGAGTTCTCATTGCTTAGACAGGAGGCAATGAGCCATTGGCCTCCGTTTCATTTCCAACTTGGTGTTTGATATACCTCATACGCATCCGTTTGAACCTGAGTGTCGCGACCCAATTGTTCATAAACAAATAAACAAACACCATGACAACACCTGCAGCAATAATCAGAGGTCCAAGAATGGAGAAGACAGTGAACCCATATGATGCTCTTTGAAAAGCGTGATTATCCTTGAGCATACTTGTGCCAAGACCAACTTGCATAGCAGTCAGAACAACGACTAAGTAGATGGTCGAGCTAGCCATCCATGTAAAGTTGCCTTCGAAAAACGAGCCGTACTGGTTCCAGTAGGATCGGTAGGCGCGTAATGGCGTCTTCCATAGGTAGTAAAGCTTGTTCAGGCGGTTCAGGCGCAGCTCGCCGTAGTGGAAACGCGGATCAATGTCGCGGTAGATGTTTTCGTTGTCGAGAAGCTCTTTAACGAACCTCCGCCATGTCAACCAATTAAACTCCATGGGAACCAGGTGCTTGTCGCGAGCGATGATGAAATCGCTCTCGTAAGAAACAAGCGCTGCGTAAGAAAAGAAGAAGCCGAGAGCTCGCTGTCTTCGAAGCCTGCAGCTACATGGCTGTCGATCAATATGATGAGTGCCATTGATAGGGCCCGGTTTGCAAGACAGGTAGTCCTGCCAGAACCGAGGTTCCATGAGGAACCGCGGTAGAGGCTTGATCCAAATTTTCGACTTGCTCCAAACAAGATGCATATCCATCTGCTCAGTGACTTGTATCTGACGCCCAAGCAAGTCCTGGTAATGCAGTGGTCGCGGTGGCATTGGTCTGCCGGCAAGCCAAAGCCAATTGTGAACATCGGCTAGACGTTTCAGATTGAGCTCCTTATCAATACAGGCGAGGATGTTGTTTTCGGAAACACTCGGATTGTTGAGGTTCTCGTGTGCGTCTCGGTAAACTGCTGGTAGCAATGAAGTATAATCATCGTGAAGATCTAGCCTGTCGCTGCCCTCGTAGTTCTGTCGTAGTATGGAGATGCAGGACGGGATGGACTGACGATACTTTGTTAGCGTTTGGATATTCAAGGCATCTGATTGGGCCGCTACCTGAGCCCATCGTGGCATCTCGATGCTCCCGTTTGGATCACCCATAATAACCGGGTGAATATATTTACATATCCAGACTTTCAGACTGGAGACGCCAGTAGAAATATGAGATAGCCTTCCAAGCGTTCAAAGAGATGACGCGTCCTTCTTAATTCTTTTGGGTGGGTTACCGGCGTGGTCAAGTTGTTACGTAAATAATCTCTATCATGGGGTCTTCAATGCCCAACCACAAGGATCAAGAATGACACTTTCTGCACTTTCAAAACGTCTGCCTAAGGAAATTTGCCTAATTGCAACAGAACTGCGACTTCTCGGTTTATCATTCGACGATTTGGAGCCTGGCTTACTTCTCGGACTCAGAATCACCGAAGCTGACCGACTTTACGGTCAATATGCATACTTACATCACCTTCTAGCCTATAGAAAAAATAACCCACGCACCATCATTCTCAAATGGATTTATCTGTCATGAGTTCAAGTCAAATTCCAAATCAGGCCTGTTTTCATCATGTTCCAGAGTCAAAGGCGTCTTGTGTGACTTATATAAAAAGGGCAAGCTTTCGTATCTTTTTCTGAACAGATCCCCAGCAGGAAAAACATCATACTCGTTCGTTCGAATCCCCAAGAAATTCTCATGGGCTCCTTACGCGTTACTAGTCTCTTTTAGACAGCTTCCTTCAACCCATCCGGGACCGAGACACCGGCCATGTCGAACCCAACAGCGATCAGAAATGCGACCTTGATCATTGGCGTCATCACTGGTTGGCTATCTCTTTTGATTTACGTGTGCAACGTTCATCGATCGCGAAAGGCTAGAAAAGCAGTCGCAGAACTGGACCTGACCGACCTTAGCCGATACGACTTTCCGTCTTCCTCAGACCCTAAGAAGACCTTCAAGACAATCCAGAAAAAATGGCAAGAACATCTCAAAACGAAGGCAGCCAGTCGACAGGAAGAAGAGAAGAGCACTGCCCACGGCGAACCTGTGTGGCTGTCGCTTTGGGCCTTCAGGGGCGAACTACGACACTGGCAACTTCTCTCCCACTGCTATAAGTACGAATTGCGGAGAAAGCAACGCCCCAAGCCTGCCCCCGAAGAATCAGACGGTAGCCTCGACTCCTCTGCCGATGAACAGACAACCGAAGCCGAGGGCGTCGTCGAACCTATCGATGATGTGACAAACACGTCGGGATTTGGCAGGTTCTACGAAGCCGCCACCCGCCAGTATCCGAACTACGCTTCAGATATGGAGCAGCGGGACAGAGTGATTGCAACTCGAGGCAGACCTGACGTCCAGATCAAAGGCGGCCTCGTGAGCATTGTGCTCATCGGGTGGACCGACAAAACCAAAGACCAGGTCGACGAGGCATTCTGGCAAGTTGAGAAGAACTTTGGAGACTATCACCTCCTGAACAACAACTGCCAACATTTTGTGCGAAACCTAGCCGACCTCATTGTCTCCAAGAAATCGCAGGACTGGAACTGGTTCCGAAAGATGTCCTTGAAGAGTTACGGGGAATACGTCGGCCCGCAAACTCTGGGGACCCCTGGAGGACTTGCTCGATTATTGCTGGTGAAACTGACAGCTTTGAGGGCAAGCAAGACCATGACCGACCCAATGGCTTTGAGGGTACTAGACGGCCATATATCGGCGCTCAACTCTTACCTCCTTTCTCTGCATGTGGAGCTTTCTAACGTTTGCATTGCTTGTGCATGGAGAGGGGGGCAAGTAGTTGCTGCTGATCAAGCCGTAATGCTTGTTTAGATAAGTAGACAAGAATCATGGAGAAATAGGGATGTCGAGGAAATTCATAGCCCGCCCATTTCGTAACAGGGTACACAATAGGTAATCGCACTTCGGACGGTGCTTCGTCCAGTAAGGGGATCAGTTACGTACCAGGGTACCAGGGAAGGAGAAAAGGGATAATGCTAATTTCTGGTGACGATGGAACCCTTTCCACAGCCGCGTCGCTTTCCATATCTGTATGTTATGTTTTGCCCTTTTTGGTAACGAGTCGGTATATCCAAAGTTTATTGGTAGTAGTAAATCGCACAATAGTACCTGAGAGATGTATTGACCCTATTAGCTCCTGGGTGATAATAATACCTAGGTAGGATCAGTAAACCTCTTGGTTTTCTCTGAAGTTGCTTAATCAAAGTACTTCCTTTCTACAAAAAAGGCATGGCGATCTTTTCGGATGACATTTCATGAACCAATTCCTACTTGTGGAGTGTGATCCGCTTGGTCAGTAAGAGTTGAGGGGATATTTCCAACGAACATCACCCTTCTTTGTTTTCTCTCCCTAGCTCTATCAGATATGTATACTGTCTCAAAACGCCCTTTCAGCTACCAAGGGCTGAATAACCCAGAGCTCTGTCGCAATACAAAAAGCATGATTCCACCGAAATATTGCCTCTCCCACTCACCGTTTACATGTAATGGTCTGATCAAATTCAGCCGAGATCTGACACACCAATCTCACGTCCCAAGTCAGGTTAGCTACGCGGGATAGCTTTCCAAGTGGACGGGCGCCTTTGGAGCTGGTCTTCGTTCAGAGACATAATCTATTGAGACCACAACACACTAACATGCTTTGTTGTGCTAGTCAACTGCCAGCTCCCTCCTCATTCCCCTCTCTTGAAAACGAACGCTTCGCTGCTCGCGTACGTGGAATCTACGTCTAATGTTCATAAAGTTTTGAACGCCGGCATAAAATGATTTTTAATTACATGGGAATCAAAGACTCGTCGCATAAAAAGAGCCTCTTTCATGAGCGGGTAACAGCAATAGCCTCCTCCAAAATGTCAAGACCCTGCTGGATCTCCTTCTCGGTGATGGTCAGAGGGGGCACGAAGCGGAGGGTGTTGGTGCCGGCGGTGATGATGAGCAGACCGCGCTCGCGGGCGGCCTTGACGATGGGGGTGGGGTCCTGGGTGAGCTGCAGACCGAGGATGAGGCCGCGACCGCGGACCTCCTGGATGAGCTCGGGGAAGCGCTCGCGGAGGGCGTCGAAGCGGGTCTTGAAGATGGCAGCCTTGGCGGTGACGCCCTTCTGCAGGGCGGGGTCGGCGAGGCGGGAGACGATGTTGTGGGCCAGGCGGCAGGCGAGGGGGTTGCCGCCGAAGGTGGTGCCGTGGTCGCCGACCTTGATCTTGTCGGCGACGTTCTTGTTGACGACGGTGGCGCCGATGGGGAAGCCGTTGCCGAGGGCCTTGGCGGTGGTGATGATGTCCGGGTGGGCCTCCTTGGGCAGGTGGGTGTGCGCCCAGAAGGTGCCGGTGCGGGAGAGGCCGCACTGGATCTCGTCGTAGATGAGGACGGCGCCGACCTCGCGGCAGCGCTTGGCGAGGGCGATGAGGAACTCGTCGGAGGCCGGGGTGACGCCGCCCTCGCCCTGGATCGGCTCGACGATAACGCCGCAGGTCTTCTCGGTGACGGTGGCGTTGATGGCCGAGACGTCGTTGAACTTGCCGAGCTTGAAGCCGGGCAGCATCGGGGCGAAGGGCTCCTGGTACTTGGGGTTGTGGGTGGCGGACAGGCTGCCCATGGTGCGGCCGTGAAAGGCGTTGTTGAAGGAGACGACCTCGAACTTGTCGCTGCCGGGGTTGGAGACCTTGGCGGCCTTGCGGGCGAACTTGATGGCGGCCTCGTTGGCCTCGGAGCCGGAGTTGCAGACGAAGACGGAGTTGGCGTCGTGCATGGCGCCGGCCTCGAGGGTCTTCTCAACAAGGAGCTTGGAGAGGGCGCCGGTCCAGGGGTTGTAGTAGAGGTTGGAGGCGTGCATGAGAGTGCTACCCTGGTTCGTGACGGGCTGTGTCAGTCACTTTGCGCAAAATGACTCAACTATGGCTCGAAGTTATCACCTACCTGCTCGGTCATGAGCTTTGTGATCTCGGGATCGCAGTGGCCCAGGGCATTGACGGCGATACCAGCGGTGAAGTCGAGGTATTGCCTGTTCTCGACGTCCCAGAGGACAGAGCCCTGGCCCTTCACGAACACCGGGGGTGGGCGGGCGTAGGTGGCCACCATGTAAGGCGCATGTTCGCGGACGAGAGCGGCGCTGGGGGAGTCTTCGGTGGGATCGGGGTTCGGGACGGAGGCTTCCTTCTGTAGATTATTGTCAGTCCAAAAACATCATGACTCCCGTCTCGGAGGACGACGACTTACGCTGATGCTCTCGGGGATGCTGGAGGCGGCGGCGGTCGCAGAAGAGAGCGCACGGGCGTTGAAACGCGAAGAGACGGCCAGGAGCGGCTGGCACTTGGCCAATTGAAGTCGCAGAGGGGCACGGAACGCCATTATGGTGAGTTGGAGGGCAGACTCGACTCCGTGGGAAAACAAAGGTGGTGTTGAAGGAGGAGAGCAGAGGTAAAATTTGGGCTGGTTCGCGCATGGATCGACGGGATTAACAGAAAAGCAACAGCAGCAGCAGCAGCGAGTGACTCGACAATCGGCTTATCGATAACGCCCTTGCGCCTCCGACGTTTGGCACGTTTTGGAGGGGCAGCCCTCCACTTCGGTCCGGCGGGTACCTCGTTTTTAGCGCTCCCCGGGGACGCCCCCTCCGATCTCGGGCCCAAGCGCTCAATCTTTCGGATGAACCCCACGTTCGTTCTTCTTGTCAAACATGTGCCTACGGCGCCCTACTAGGCATGTTTCGGCGTTTGAAAAGTTTCAGTTACGTCAATTAAACGTAGAATTATTTACACAACTTCCACAGCTTCTGCTCAATTGGCCTCGAGCAGAGTCTCCTCAATGATGCGCTTGGCCAACCACTCACATCTGCCCCGGGCGAGCGTCGGATCAGTGCCCCTCGCAACATGTGTAGAGTTGTTAGCTTCACCGAGAACAAGAAGGTTGCCCTCAGCACCGTACGGCTCGAAACCAATAACTTTATGTGCCGTCGGGACTCCGCTCGTGACAAAGCTGGCAATCCAAGACTGAAGAACCCTTGAAGCCGCAACATCGACGTCTGTGGTGGGTGGGAAGGGAGCTCCAGCTGGGTCAATCGCTTCCCCACGATAGAAAGTGAACCCAAGATCTTGACCGTGGACACCGGGTGGGGCTGCAAACTGGTAGTTGTACGTGGCGTTGCGCAAACCACGCGATGTGAAGGGTTGGTTGCATGTGAAGCAAAACTCCCCAAAGCTCTGGTAGGCCCGCTCGAAGTTGTCGGTGTAGCCTTGAGAACCATCGAAAACGGGAGGATACACCTCTTCCTCCAGGGCAGTAGCACTGTCGTTGCTGATGCCGGCAACAAGGGTGCGCACGTACTCGGAGTAGGCCTCGGTGGTGTTGATTCTGGGGTCACCGAAGAGGATGCCTTCGTTGGCGTTGGTGCCGATCAGCGCGCGAACGTGGTCGAAGTCGCCGCTAAGCAACATTCTCGCAGGCTCTTCAGGGACGAAGACGCCATCAACGGCTGGGTGAAAGGCACCTTGGTACAGCTGACGGGTGACGATGTTGTTAACAGCGATGAGGACGTCCGATGGCAACTTGCGCAGGGCATCGAACGAAGAGACATTTGCAACGCTCAACACGGTTTCGACAACATCCTCGAGTGCTTGGCTTGACCGAGCGGGAACGAAGCCGGTGGACTGAGTGATTATCTGCTGGAAAGGGGCCGGTCCTTGGTCACCACCAAAGGCCGTCAACTGGTGAATGATGGAGCCGCCGCCGGCACTCTCCCCCATCACCGTCACACGGTCTGGAGACCCACCGAAAAGATGGATGTTCTCCTTGACGAATTCTAGAGCCAACCTTTGGTCATACAGGCCAACGTTAGGCGTCCCTTGAGCCTCTACGGTAGGACCACCCAAGAAACCAAAGGCGCCGAGCTGATGGTAGATGTCAGCAAGAAATGGACTTGCAAGAGCGACGTGGGCCGAGAAAGATGCCAACAGGGGTAAGACCATGTCAAAGATGGCACGTCATGGCAATAGAACGGAAGGGAAATGCACTGACCCTGTAGTTCATGGCAACGAAGATGAACCCATCATCACCAAGATCCTCACTGGCTTGTAGCAAGCCAGTTGGATCATGCAGCCCTAATCCAGTCTTTTCGCCGATTAGGTACCCTCCGCCATAGATCCAGACCAACACCGGTGACTCGGCACCGGATCCGCGTTTGTCGTAGATCTTCTTCGGCACGATGACATCAAGAAACAAGCAGTCTTCCGAGATGCGAGGGTCAGCTGGCGGCTCGGTCTGGTTGGCAGCCTGCTGTCGCAACTCGGCGAGGTCGAGCACCGTGCCGCTGATGTAGGAGAGGATCCACTGTGTCACCGCCGTATCGTTGAAGAGAGTGAACGGCTGAGGGCAGATAGCGCCGATGGAACCATTGTTGACAACGTGACTGGTGTTGGAAACTTTGACAGGCACAGGAGCTCGGAATCGGAGGTCGCCTACGGGCGGTTCGGCGAAGCGGATGTTGGAGAAGTTGTAGGTGCCGGCCGTTTCCTGTGAGGTTCGCTTGGGTTAGCGTTATTGCAATGCAAGACCAAGTTGCGGAATTCTAAGAAGGCTTACATCATAGCTGATAGCTTGGTGTCGTTCCTAGAGCGAAGGCTAATGTCAGTAGCTGCGAGTTAAACAGCCCATTACCACATGCTCTAACTTACATGAGGCAAGTCGACAATCGGTAAGTCTGGTGTCTGAGTGGCGTTACTGCCATCATTGCACACGGCTCCCGATTGAACTCCTCGAAGAAGAAGTGCAAGAGCTACTTGAGAGAACTTCATAATGAGTGAGCGTGTGATTGAAGG